GAATTGATGCGTCAGCAGTGGTCATGTCGTGTGTCAGTGCTGTGTTGTGCTGTGTTGTGTAGCAGGTTGTGTATCACTGAGGACCAGCTGACTTCAGATCAGCTGATCACACAGACGCGCTCAGATCTGCCCGAACGCCGTCTGGACGCCATCTACAGCATCTGGTAACAGCCAATCATAATCATCTGTTTCCACCAGCTCCGCCCCCTCTGCTAGTTGTCCAATCACATTGTCTCGTTGTGTTTCAGCTCTCTGGTCCCGCCCACCTGCTCCACTGCTCTGGTCTCTGATTGGTTCGACCAGCTGACAGCCATCAATCAGCAGATCGGTAACAGCAACAGGTGTCGTCATAGCAACAAGCTTTATAGCAACTGCTCATGTTGTTAATGTGTGTGTGTGTGTGTGTGTTTGGTCAGAGCGTCTCCATGGCGACCTCCTCCATCAGCTGCGGTGTTCTGCCGAGCGGTCCTGGAGGTGCCGTCTGGAGCAGGTGGACCATTGTCAGGTGATGCTGATGGATCCATTCAGACAGAAGTCATGAAACATGTTCACACTTTTCTTAGTTCTTATTTGGAACCCAAAAGTTCTGGAACATATTTTGGCTGAATTTTTAGAATGTTGTTTTCAAACCTGGAACGTTTGTATTTTCACACTCAAATAAACCCGTGAAGCTTCCACAGACGATGTGGTGAGGACACAGACAGGCGTCTTATCAACTACTGGACCTTGGAAATGGTAAAAAGGTGCCAAACCTCCAACCAGGCTGGTGCTGATCCAGAAAGCTCCTGTCAGTGTCTGTCTATGGATGGATCCATGGTTCTGTTGAGGCTCTAACATCAGTAGAACCTGATGTGGTGAAGTTGGACCAGACACGGTTCTGGTTTTACATGTTTAGACTAAATGTTGATGTGGATCATTGGTAGGAACCAGAACCTGGAGTTCACAGGTTCTTGGTGTTGGTTCTAGACATTGGTTCTGGATGTTGGTTCTAGGTGTTGGTTCTAGGTGTCTGTTCTAGATGTTGTTTGTAGTTGTTGGTTCTGGATGTTGGTTCTGTATGCTGGTTCTAGGTGTTGGTTCTGGATGTTGGTTCTGGATGTTG